TTTTTGGAGACAGAGTCTCACTCTGTCACCCAGGCTGGAGTGCAGTGGCGCGATCTTGGCTCACTGCAAGCTCTACCTCCCGGGTTCACACCATTCTCCCGCCTCCGCCTCCCAAAGTGCTGGGATTACAGGTGTGAGCTACCGCACCCGGCCAGGTAAAATTATATTTCTTAAGCTGGTGGAGTGGCGAAGATATGGATGTTTATTTTTACTCTTTATATTATATATATACATGTATTTTATGCACACATCCACCAGTCAAAAAATTAAGATGAGGAGTTAACATAATCTCAAAGGGGTTGAAATATTTTTAAAAACTGATACCTCGTATCACCAGTGTCCTTTTTGAATGCAAATCCCAAAATAGCTATCTTCTTATCAGTTACTGTATTAAACAGACTGTCTATGATCCGGGAAGCAAACCTCCTCCTCTGGTAGTCATTCATGTCTATCACCTGAAATTACATGTACAATTGTGCAATGATTAGTTAAAAGAGGTACGGCCTATGACACACATTACTCAGTTTTATGGTGAGTGCCATTGTACAAATACAATGCTTACATATTAACAGGAGGCAAAAATTAACCAAACTCTAGTGCCTGTGGATTTAAAACAAAACAACAACAACAAAAAAAGAATCACCCATCCCCTTCCTTAAAGCCATCCTAGGCCAGCAGTGGTAGCTCACATCTGTAATCCCAGCACTTCAGGAGGCCGAGGTGGGCGATTGCTCGAGCTCAGGAGTTCAAGACCAGCCTGGGCACCACGGTGAGACCCTGTCTCTACAAAAAATACAAAAATTCACCAGGCATGGTGGCGTGTGCCTGTAGTCCCAGCTACTTGGGAGGCTGAGGTGGGATGGCTTGAGCACAGGAGGCAGAAGTGGCAGTGAGCCAAGATCATGCCACTGCACTCCAGCCTGGGTGACAGAGCCAGACCCTATCTTAAATTAAAAAAAAAAAAAAAAAAAAAAGCCATCCTAAAAATTTGTAATTTCATTTGGCTTGATTTTCCATGCATAAGGCTAGGATGGATGCAAAAATTGGAGTGCACAACCAAGTTTTAATTCTAAGCGCATTTCAGGTTCAGCTATGAGACCAGCCTAAAGAAGGCACATAGGAAACCATATTCTCCTTAGCCCGTGTCTCTAAACTCTGTGGAAACAAGCTATAAGCAATCAAACCCCAAAGTATTCCTTCATTTGCTTGTGCTCCACTATTCACAAAAATTCAGTTTCAGTGGAAAGTGGGCAGGGAACAAACAATTATGGTTCTAGCTACCTCTGGATGAACCATACCACCACAAATATTTGACAAGGTTTTTAATGAACTAAATGTTATACGAGAAGAGTCTTCGATCACTTAATCTGTTAAATTTAGGTTGGTAACCAGGTAGGCAAAGCAAAAGAAATTTTTTTTTAAGGCTTTAAGCTTCCAGGGACCATCTCAATCAAACCTTGAGAGCCTAAGCAATTAGCCCAAAGTGCTGGAAAATCAAGAGTTTATCTGCAATTTTCACATGATGAACAGTGAGATAAAGCCATCATGATGCATTGACTGGAATGACACTAAGTGTATCTGTTTTCCCTTAAAAATGTGCATTTCTGGCTAGGCAGGGTGGTGCGCCTGTAGTCCCAGCTACTCAGGAGGCTCAGGTGGATCACGTGAGCCCAAGAGTTGGAATCTAGCCTGGGCAACACAGTGAGATCCTGTCTCTAAAAAGCAAAACATTTTAAAAAAAGAAACGTGCATTTCTTTAGATTCCCTCCCATATCTACTGCTGAAACCTGAAAAATTATAAACTCGGGGGGAAATATTTGGGAAAGGCACATATACCAACTAGTAATTGGGACAAATTACTTAATATCTCCGTGTCAGTTCCCTCATCAAATAAAGGGGATAATGTTAGTGATGAGGATTAAATGATACTGTATGCGAAGTGCCCAAAAGAGTACCCAGTACAGGGTAAGCATTCAGTAAACATCAACTCTACTTCCCAGAGCTCGCTTAATGCTTCCAATTTGGGAAGGGTTTCTAATTTTAGCTCTGTGAGTCTGAAAGGTTCAAAACAAATAACAACAAATACAAAACCACTTGAAAGCATGACAATACAGGTTCTGTTTGTTTTTTTTTTTTTTTTTGAGACAAAGTCTCGCTCTGTCATCCAGGCTGGAGTGCAGTGGCGCAATCCTGGTTCACTAGAACCTCCGCCTCCTGGGTTCAAGCGATTCTCATGCCTCAGCCTCACTAGGCCAGTCTCGAACTCCTGACCCTCAAGTGATCTGTCCACCTCAGCCTCCCAAAGTGCAGGGATTACAGGTGTGAGCCACCATGCCCGACCAACGTTATAATGTAGGTTCTTACTTTACTTTGATTTTATGCCTTTCAAGACAGAAAAGAATTAGGCTAGGTTCACTGGCTAACACTTATATTCTCAGCACTTTGGGAGGCAAAGACGGGAGGACTGCTGAGCCCAGGAGTTTGAGACCAGCCTAGGCAATATGGTGAGACCTTGTCTCTACAAAAAAAATTTTTTTAAATAAAAAAATTCGCCAACGTGGTAGTGCATTCCTGAAGTCCCAGCTACTTGGGAGGCTGAAGTGGGAGGACTACTTGAGCACAGGAGGTCACTGCAGTGAGCAGGGATGACACCACTGCATTCTAGCCTGGGTGACAGAGTGAGATCTTGTCTCAAAAAAAAAAAAAAAAAAAAAAGAGAAGAATTATAATTAAGGATAATTGTTTTTGTTTTACTCTGGGAGCAAATTTAGCTATAAAATTAGAATACTGGTTTATCACAAACTTCCATCAACATTGATTAGCAGGAAAGATAAATTAAAAACACAGATACCCAATAAATAAACATAAAATAAGCAAATCGAATATACTAATGTTTGACTTCCTGGAATAAATAAATTCCATCAAAAATATTTCATGGACAAAAAGTGACATGCTTAATGAGAAGCTAAACAGAAATTGCTATTATTATTGCTATTACTATTATTATGTTAGAGACAGGGTCTCACTCTGTTGTCTATGCTACAGTGCAGTGGAGGGATCATAAGTCACGGGAGCCTCCAACTCCTAGGTTCAAGTGATCCTCCCACCTCAGCCTCCTGAGTAGCTAGGACTACAGGTGTGCAGCACCATGCCTGGCTAATTTTTAAATTTTTTGTAGAGATGGGGTCTCACTATGGTGCCCAGGTCAGTCCCAAATTCCTGGCCTCAAGTGATGCTCCTGCCTTGGCTTCCTAAAGTGCTGCGATTACAGGTGTGAACCACTACGCCTGGCTAAACAGAAATTATTACCTATAAAGATTAATACCTGCTGCCAATAACGAGCTACTTCTGGCAAATTCAGAGCCTCACAGAGATAAACCAAATTCAGAACATCCTTTTGGAAGCAGCTCCCACCAAACCCTACAGAAAGAAAAAAATAAACAGTATTTTCATGTAAGAACGAGAAAACTCAATCATGTGACAAATTTCTTTATACTAAATCAGAAACCTTATACTAAGATTTTTTAATAATAAAATTCAGATAGATAAATAATAGGCTTATAAATTATGTAAAATTTGCAGGCAACAACTCCACAAGTAACTTCCAAATAATTTTCTAACTAAAGTTTCATTATGACTACGTTTAACTTTTTATATTGTTTCCTTTTATCTCCTATTTTTTTCTCATTCATCTAGTATGACTGCCCCACATTCTTTACTCTAGCAGAGAGTCAGCAAACTTTTTCTCTTTTTGAGACAGAGTCTCCCTCTGTCGCCCAGACTGAAGCGTAGTGGTATGAACATGGCTCACTGCAGCCTTGACCTCCCAGGCTCAGGTGATCCTCCTACCTTAGCCTCCCAGGCAGCTAGGGCTACAGGTGTGCACCACCATACCTGACTAATTTTTTTTATTTTTTTGTAGAGCTGGGGCTTCACCACGCTGCCCAGGCTGGTCTCAAACTCCTGGGCTCAAGCAATTCACCTGCCTTGGCCTCAGTCTCCCAAAGTGCTGGGATTGTAGGCATGAGCCACTGTGCCTGGCCTGGGTCAGCAAACTTTCATGGCAAAGGGCCAGACAGTAAATATTTCAGCCTTTGTGGACCATTCAGTTTCTGAGGAGACTATTAAACTGCCACTGTAGCTCAAAAGCAGCCATAGGCAATATGTAGTCTAATGGTCATGGCTGTGTTCCAATAAAATTTATTTACAAAAACAAGCTGTGGACTGGATTTGACCCAAGGGCCATAGTTTGCCCACGCTTGCTCTAGTGCAATGCAGTATGCAGTAAGGAATAATATGGCTTTGGAGTTAGAAACATCTGGTCACTCAGTTGCATGACTTTGAGCAAGTTGCACAAATTTCCCTGGGTCTGAAGCATCTCTAAAAAAGAAAATAACAGCATCTTCCTAACAGGTTATAAGGATTCAGTGAGATATATAAAGCACTGGTACCAGCAAATAATATGCCTTCAGTAAATAGTAGCTCTCTTTATTAGAGAAAAATTTGAATTTACCAACACTGGCTTTTAGAAACTTGTTTCCAATTCTCTGGTCCATTCCAATTGCTGTTGCTACCTCTTCTACATCAGCTCCTGTTGCTTCACACAGAGCACTTATGGAATTAATGCTGCTTATTCTCTGGGCAAGAAAAGCATTTGCTGCCTTGAAAAAAAACACACACACACACAGAGAGAAGAGTAAGATAGGCTAAAACAGCAATTTTACACATCTAGTTTATATTTCATTGCGTTGATGCAAATTACTGAGGGAGATACATGAGATACTGATGAGCTCAATTTGAGGAGACAATGGATGGGTTAGAAAGGGAAAATGTTTTAAATTAGAGAGGACAGATGATTAAGAAAAAGGGTAAAGAGAAGGAAAGAGTGATAAAAACCAAATTACTATTTTAAGATTTCATAATTTTTCAGAATATTTTATACCCTGATATATGATCTCCCTTGTGAAAATTATTTCATACTTTAAACGTGCAAGAATATGATCTTCAAAAGCATAACCTCTTACTACTATTAAAAAAGTATCTGTGTAGCTTATCAGGCTTAAAATAAATAAGTATTTGGCTTTAATTTAATGGAGAGTTGAATGCTATATACTAACCAGTTTGGAAAGCTCTGAAGACCAAGTATTAGTGGTGAGGATCTTTTCTCTGGGAACCCAGTGCTCATATACAGCACACAGGGCCTGCACAGCTCTCTGGCCCTCTGGAGTTTCATCCCCTCCAATCAGTACCCTGTCTGGGTACTTTAGGTCCTTGATGGCCGTTCCCTCTGCCAGAAACTCAGGGTTGGACAGCACCTAGAATCCCAATGCAAAGGAAAGTTTTACGCTAGAATTAATTTTGGGCAACTTTAACACATCAGTATTTACATAAGAACAACCAGATTCTAATGCTTCATTTTTTATACCTGTAGATTCAAGTTGGGTTTTGTGTTTGCATCAAATATGCGACGAATACTTTCTGCTGCCCGCACTGGAACCGTGCTTTTCTCAGTCACAATTTTGTACCCATTTGAGTTTTGCACAATGCGTCTAGCACAAGCTTCAATATACTTCAGATCTGCTGCCCGGCCTTTCCCCATTCCATAGGTTTTTGTCGGAGTATTCACCTGATGAAAGTATATGGGATAAAGAACAGAGTGCCTATGAGATAGGGATTTCAAGATACATCCTGAAGTCCTGGTTAAAGTGTGGAGTTAACAATCATCAGTAGTCCTGATTTAATCCTCTGTTAGTTCCACAGAAATAATACATTTTATAAATATAATCGTCAGAAGAAATAGCTTGAAGCATCTAGAGAACTCACTCAATAAATTTTTGTTGGGAAGCTACTATCTATATGCCAGATAACTAGGGCAGGCAGATTCCAGGTAAGCCCTGAAGATATATAAATGAATGAGACAGTTATCCTAAAGGACTTCACAATCTGAAATGAAACGTAAGCCTTTTCTTATTTCTTATTCTCTTTCTTTATTGTATTAATATATCATTACAGTCCTTAAAAATAAGCTTTAAAGTCTTTTTTTTTTTGAGATGGAGTCTTGTTCTGTTGCCCAGGCTGGAGTGCAGTAGCACAGTCCCGGCTCACTGCAACCTCTGCCTCCCAGGTTCAAGCGATTCTCCTGCCTTAGCCTCCCAAGTAGCTTTGACTAGAGGCATGCGCCACCACACCCCACTCCTTTTCTAAATATTTTTAGTAGAGACAGGGTTTCATCATGTTGTCCAGGCTGGTCCAAACTCCTGACTTCAGGTGACCTCTCCACCTCAGCATCCCAAAGTGTTGGGTTTACAGGCGTGAGCCACCGCGCCTGGTCTCCTTTCTTATTCCCCTATTTTTACAGTCCTATATCAACAGTCTTTTAAAATATTGCAATATTATTCACAAATGCTTTCTGAGCTCATTAAAGCTAGACATTATCTATCATCTTCAGGATACAGAATACTATGTGGACAAAGACTTGCTTTTTTTTTTTTCTTTTTAAGACGGAGTCTTGCGCTATCACCCAGGCTGGAGTGCAGTGGCATGATCTCGGCTCACTGCAACCTCTGCCTCCTGGGTTCAAGCGATTCTCCTGCCTCAGCCTCCTGAGTAGCTGGGATTACAGGCATGCCACCACGCCTGCCTAATTTTTGTATTTTTAAACGGGGTTTCACCATGTTGGCCAGGGTGGTCTCAAACTCCTGACCTCAAGTGATCTGCCTGCCTCAGCCTCCCAAAGTACTAGGATTACAGGCATGAGCCACCACACCCGGCCAATGGACGAAGACTTTCCTTTAGAGGAAAAAAAAAAAAAAAATCATGAGCCCAGAGTCTAGGCATTTAGTTTTGGATTACATGTAACCTTGGAGAAGTGTGGCTGCCTCTGCCTCAATGACTTCATTGGAAAATGAGGATAGCAGGCTATCTAAAAACTAACACATGAATGTTATGATGCTCTGACAAAAATGAAAGTGCTCTGAAAAGTCTAAAACTTAAAGGGAATAGGAATTATTTTTGAACTAATAGTAAGTAGTACTAACTCTCTTCTCTTGATGAGATTATAACCCTATGGGAGACTAAACAAAGGAACCAAGTGAAAATAAATCAAAACTTGAAGATTGAGTTGAGGTATGAAAAGCAGGAGGAAAAAGTTGTTTATACGCATGGAACAACTTAGGGCAAGAGTTAGATGTAATGGTGTACAGAAAGGCAGACAGCTCATGATGTAGGGTGAAACTGGCTAGAGATGGGAGATGACCAGACAGCTTCCCCTGATAAAGGAGCTTTGAAAACAACAGTTGAAAACTGATCGCTACAAAATAATTCCTGTCTGGCATTCAAAAACAGATTATTTTTAAATGTCCTTTCTGCAGAAAATTCTTCTATTACCATTCCAGGCTCTGGTCACCTAAAAATTAGACTAAGTAACTCATTGATTTTTTTCCAGGTACCTAGCTACTCCAAAATATTTTCTTTTTTTTTTTTTTTATGCCTCTACTCTAAGTTTCTGCAAGTTTAAATAGTTTAAATAGGGGATGGGTAGGTAAATCATAGAAGCTGCATGCATCAATTTCTCTGAAATTATTAAGGAGGTCAAAAAGAAGAGACTGAATTTTTTTTTTTTTTTTTGAGACAAGGTCTCCTGTCACCTAGGCTGGAGTGCAAGGTACAATAATGGCTCACTGCAGCCTCAACGTCCGGGGTTCAATCAATCCTCCGACCTCAGTCTCCCAAGTAGTCAGGACTACAGACACATAGCACCACGGCCAGCTAATTAGAGACAGGGTTTCACCATGTTGCCCACACTGGTCTCAAACTCCTACGCTCAAGCGATCCGCCTGCCTTGGTCTCCCAGAGTGCTGGCTGGGATTACAAGCATGAGCCCTTATGCCCAGCTCATAAAGATCTTAAGTCAAATAACACTGTCACTCAGCTTCCAACTGGTGATAGCTATATCATTACACACAGAATATTTGAACAGATGGTTACTAGGACAATAAGATGTAAGTTGCTTTGGTTCAAATAGTGGATTACTAGAGTTTAATCTCAAGTGTTGGTTCTGTTTTTTTCACTATAAAGCCACATTATGAGGTAAAGATGTCTGTTGGTTAGCCTGATAATCTAACCAACATATGCCAAGTTACAAACAATTAATGTAAAATTCATTTAGAGAGGAGATGCCTGTAAGTTTGCAAACTGATTTTCTTCATCTCACCTCTGCCAACCACTGGAAACAAGAAATAATGATAATATGAAATATATTATCATTACATGTGCTTTCATGTTACCAGAATTTCTTAGTTCTTTTTTTTTTTTTTTTTTTTTTTTGAGACAGAGTCTCGCTCTATTGCCAGGCTGGAGTGCAGTGGTGCGATCTCAGCTCACTGCAACCTCTGCCTCCCAGGTTCAAGCGATTCTCCTGCCTCAGCCTCTTGAGTAGCTGGACTGGCACACCACCATGCCCAGCTAAATTTTGTATTTTTAGTAGAGACAGGGTTTCACCATGTTGGCCAGGATGGTCTCGATCTCTTGACACCCGCCTCGGCCTCCCAAAATGCTGGGATTACAGGCGTGAGCCACTGCACCTGCCCATTTCCTAGTTCTAAATCTCAGAACTTTGTTTGAGTTTACTTGTTCAATGACTTGAAATGACATATTTGATCAGATGATTATGGGGTTTTGTGAACTGTTAGATAAAGTGACAACCAAAATTCAACTGGACAACTCTATACTCAGCAATGTTGAGGCTTAATATCAATGGATTTACTATTAAAGTATGATGAAACTTTTATATAGACAAGAACACATTAAAATTCACACAGCAAAGGAAAATACTTACAGAAATAAATACAAGATCAGCTTCTTTGATGGCATCATCAATATTGGTAGAAAAAAATAGATTTTTTCCTCGACAGGATTCTACCACTTCTTTTAGTCCTGGCTAGAAAGAAAAAAGACATATAGCTTACCAGTGATATGAGATAACCTAATAGTATAGAATTACATTTGTTAAAGGGGATGGTAACATTGTAATTTAGAGGTCTAGGTTGTGCTCAAATTACCTTTGTGGAAAAGTTAAGGATCATATACCAAAGGCCATAAGTGCACATCTCATTTTTTAAATAGGGACAGGGTCTCACTCTGTCACCCAGGCTGGAGTGCAGTGGTGCAATCTCAGCTCACTGCAGCCTCTGCCTCCTAGGCTCAAATGATCCTTCCATCTCAGCCTCCCAAGTAGCTGGGACCACAGGAGCCACCAGGCCTGGCTAATTTTTGTATCTTTTTTTGGTAGAGATGGGGTTTCGGGGTTTCACTGGGTCGTCCAGGCTGGTCTCAAATTCCTGGGCTCAAATAATCCTCCCATCTCAGCTTCCCAAAGTGCTGGGATTATAAGAGTGAGCCACCATGCCCAGCCTATTTTATTTTATTTTATTTTATTTTATTTTATTTTATTTTATGAGACAGAGTCTCTTTCTGTCACCCAGGCTAGAGTACAGTGGCATGATCTCGGCTCACTGCAACTTCCATCTCCCGGGTTCAAGCAATTCTCCTGCCTCAGCCTCCCAAGTAGCTGGGATTACAGGCATGCACTACCACACCAGGCTAATTTTGTACTTTTAGTAGAGATGGGGTTTTACCATGTTGGTCAGGATGGTCTTGAACTCCTGACCTCAGGTGATCCACCTGCCTTGGCCTCCCAAAGTTCTGGGATTACATGCATAAGCCACCACACCTTGCCTATTTTATTTTTTGATACAGGGTTTCACTCTGTCCCCCAGGCTGGAGTGCAGCTGCATAACAGCTCACGCAGCCTTGACCTCCCAGGCTCAGGCAATCCTTCCTGCTCCTCCTCCTAAAGTGCTGGGATTATAGGAGTTAAGTTACCATGCCCTGTCTCATAAGTATACTTTAGTAAATAAAGCAAAATGGAAATTGCCATTAAACTTGCTACAATCAGAAGAGCAGCTCATTTAATGCTTTGTCATTGTTTACCATGTGCCTTACTCATAAGAGTTAACTATTAACTGTGAGTATCAACACAATTTTCAGAAAATTCAAGGTCCTCTTTGATTTCAAGCAAATATATGATTTTGCATTGTCATTATGAATGTACATTTTTACTCCCAATAATTCAGGCCAATACAACTGGCTGTGAAAGTCAATTTACTCCATATATACTTAAATAAATATACATTTTTCTAAGTCCTATTGCAAGGAACCCTTTAATTTTTAAAAAATTCCCAGTTTAACAGGAGATATATTTATGTTAAGAATATGGAGGGGTATAAAACCACTTAACAAATAGTCTTAATTCAAGCCTAAATCTGATTGGACCTGTACCTTTAGACCTAACTACCGATTTACATTAAATAAAGAATAAGTTGAAAAACTCCAAGGAACCCAACCAGCAAAATCTAGACTGAAAAATTTCTTTTTTTTGAGACAGAGTCTTGCTCTGTCACCCTGGCTGGAGTGCAGTGGCACCATCTCGTCTCACTGTAATATTCACCTCCCAGGTTCAAGTGATTCTCATGCCGTAACCTCCCAAGCAGCTGGGATTACAGGCGCACACCACCACACCTGGCTAAATTTTGTATTTTTAGTAGAGACGGGGTTTTTACATGTTGGCCAGGCTAGTCTCGAACTCCTGGCCTTAAGCGATCCACCCACCTCAACCTCCGAAAGTGCTGGGATTACAGGCATGAGCCACTGTGCCTGGCCTAGACTGTGATAATTTCTAGCCAATAAACAAACTGGTTTATTCAACCAATAGATATTGCTTGAAGCCCAACTATTGTGGGTTACCAGCCTGGGCAACATGGTGAAATCCCATTTCTATGAAAAAAATTTTAAAAAATAGCTGGGCATGGTGGCGCGTGCCTGTAGTCCCAACTATTCGGGAGGCTGAGGTAGGAGGATCACGTGAGTCCAGCAGACGGAGGCTGCAGTGAGCCAAGATCGAGCCACTGCACTCCAGCCTGGGCCACAGAGCAAGGCCCTGTCTCAAAGAAAACCAAAATTATCTTTTAGAGATACATAATAAAGTATTTATGGATGAAATTATAAGTAATCAGCATGGTGGTAGTTGGGAAGGGAGACTGGCCATGTAGATAACTGGTGAAACAAGATGATAGACACATAGAGATTCATTGTACTATTATCTTTAATTATATGCTTGAAATCTTCCATCATAAAAAGCAAAAAACAGACCTAAACCACTGAAGCTCACTCTTAGGGGAGAAACTTCAAACAATATCCATCCATAATATTATGGATGTTTAGAAAACTATGTCTATAGCAAAGTGAAAGCCCCTTCAGGGGCCATAGGTCTGGCATTACATATAGAGGCAACTCCCTTTTCTTCAATGGTTCCAAGGTCTCTTAACATAAGTAACTGGAGGATGTGAAAAATGTACATTTGAATTTCCATTAGTTTGATTAAAATAACGGGACAAGCAAAATATATGAACCACTGCAACCATAAATATGATGTCACCAATCACAGTAACAGGTTTCCTTGGTTATTTTGGCTAGATTCTAGAAAATGAGGGAAAAGTTTTATAGAGTCGGGATTTGCAGAGAATAAAATTTAATTCAGTCCCATGTATAATCTCCTAATATTTAAAGTTACTAAAATTAGAGCAATGCAGAATTCATATACATATAATAAAACTTCAAAAAAGACTTACATAATTTTATTAAAATCAGTGGGATCTTTGTAGATCTCCAAAATGGATGCAGAAGCAGTTAATAATATAGGTTCTATCTGTTATTAGGTTCATTATGTAATTATCATAATTGGTATATAGAATGTATATGGTACTTTTAATGGAAGAACTCAAATTCTTTCACAGGGTAAAATTATCCTCAGTAAAATGAAAAAAAAAAGGCAAATTATCCATTTTTTTTCTTTAGTTATTAATTTTTTTTTTTTTTTTTGAGATGGAGTCTCTCTCTGTTGCCAGGCTGGAGTGCAGTGGCGCGATCTCGGCTCACTGCAACCTCTGCCTCCCGCACTCAAGCAATTCTCCTGCCTCAGCCTCCCCAGTAGCTGGGATTACAGGCGCGCACCACTACACCCATCTAATTTTTTTTTTGTATCTTTTTTTTTTAATACAGACGGGGTTTCACCATGTTGGCCAGGATGGTCTCGAACTTCTGACCTCAGGTGATCCACCTGCCTTGGCCTCCCAAAGTGCTAGGATTATAGGTGTGAGCCACCACACCTAGCCTATACTGTATTTTTTAATGAACAAAGTTTAAAAAGCAATATCTATTCAATAAATATGGTAACACAAAAGGATGTGTTTTAACTGTTAAATATTAACAGAATCTACTATTTTCTCAGTAATTCATGTAATGAGAGAAGAAAGAACATTAACAGTAAGTCAAAGCCCACTGTATGCCCTCTCCGAGTCACTATTGTTCCCAAATTACCATCATGCTGAATTCTATAATCATAGATTAGTTTGCCTATTTTTGAACCTTATGCAAATGGAATTATACAGTATGTACTCCTTTGTGTCTGGCAACACTACTTTTGTAAGATTTTAACCATATTCTTAAGTGCAGGAGTAGTTTCCTTGATTTTCAACACAGTAACAGTATTTTGTTGCAGTATTATACCATAATTCACGTAGCCATTCTTTTTGTTTGTTTGTTTGTTTTTTAAGATGGAGTCTCACTCTGTTACCAAGGCTGGAGTGCAGTGGTGCAATCTCAGCTCACTGCAACCCCCACCTCCCAGGTTCAAGTGATTCTCCTGCCTCAGCCTCCCGAGTAGCTGGGGCTACAGGCATGCGCTACTACACCTGGTTAATTTTTGTATCATTTTAATAGAGACAGGATTTCACCATGTTGTCCAGGCTGGTTTAGAACCCCTGACTTCAGGTGATCTGCCCACCTCAGCCTCCCAAAGTGCTGGGATTACACGCATGAGCCACCGCACCCAGCTTCATGTATCCATTCTATTGCTGATTAATATTTAGGTTGTTACTTCTGTCCTTTACTGCACATATGTATGCATCTCTGTTGGATATACACTTGGAATTGCTGGGTCACAGACTAATAGTTTTTTTTTGTTGTTTTTTCGAGAGAGGGTCTCACTTTGTTGCCCAGGCTAGAGTGCAGTGGTGCCAACAGGGCTCACTGCAGCCTCAACCTCCTGGGCTCAAGTGATTCTCTTGCCTCAACTCCTCAAGTAGCTGGGACCACAGGCACATGCCACAATGCCCAGTTAATTTTTAAATATTTTGTAGAGACAAAGTTTCACTATATTGACCAGGATGGCGTCGGCCTCCAAAAGTGCTGGGATTACAGGTGTGAGCCACCGCGGTTGGCCTTTAAAAAAAAAAAGAAAGAAAAGGAACAGGGGTCTTGCAATGTTGCCCAGGCTGGGCTTGAACTCCCAGGCTCAAGCAATCCTCTCGCCCAGCCTTCCAAACTGTTGGGATTACTGGCGTAAGCCACTGCGCCTGGCCTATATTTTCAGCTTTAGTAGATACTGTCAAACAGTTCTGCCAAGTGACTGTACCAATTTATATTCTTACCAAGCAGAGCATAAAATTCTAACTGCTAAACACTTGGTATTGTCAGTAATATTATTTTAACTATTCTGATGGGTATCATTATTCTTATTTATTTATTTACTTATTTGGAGACAGAGTTTCACTCTGTCACCTAGGCTGGAGTGCAGTGATGCGATCTCAGCTCACTGCAACGTCTGCCTCCCAGGTTCAAGCAATTCTCTCACCTCAGCCTCCTGAGGTGCTGGGCTTACAGGCATGCACCACCACACTTGGCTAATTTTTGTATTTTTGGTAGAAACAAGGTTTTGCCATGTTGGCCAGGTTGGTCTCGAACTCATGACCTCAAGCGATCTGCTCACCTCGGCTTCCCAAAGTGCAGGGATTACAGGTGTGAGCCACTGTGCCCAGCCGTATTTTTTTTTTCTTTTTATTTGGAGATGGGGGTCTCACTATGTTGCCCAGGCTGGACTTGAACCCCTAGGCTCAAGTGATCCTTCTGTCTCAGCCTCCTGAGCTGCCAGAACTAAAAAGTCATGCCATCACGCCTGGCTTATTTGTGAAGACTAGAATATACTGCTGGCAGAATTCATTACTGAATGTTTGGATATAAGTATGGCTTACAGGGTTTCAAATGACTTGCAACCCTGTTATCAATATCAGCATTACAGAACTCTCCATCAAGTTATCTTTCCAAAACATTTTTTTAAATTACCCTAAATCGAATATAGTAATATATATATATATTCTTTTTTGAGACGAAGTTTTGCTCTGTAGCCCAGGTTGGAGTGCAGTAGCGTGATCTCAGCTCACCACAACCTCCACTTCCTGGGAATAAGCGATTCTCCTGCCTCAGCCTCCCAAGTAGCTGGGATTATAGATGCGCGCCACTGCATCCAGCTAATTTTTTATATTTTTAGTAGAGACGGGCTTTCATCATGTTGGCCAGGCTGGTCTTAAACTCCTGACTTCAGGTAATCCGCCCGCCTTGGTCTCCCAAAGTGGTAGGATTACACTTGTGAGCCACTGCGCCGCCAATATTTCAATCCTAAATCTGATTCAGATATAATAAGTAAATCTGTCTTTTTGAGTGACTACTACTCTATGGGTGCTTTTTCATAGATTCCCATATCTTCTATTCCTATAGATAGCAGGCAGACCTATCTTAGAGATAAAACTGGATTGAGACTTTCCTTCTAAAAGTCTAAGGCAACTAAAGTCTATGGTTGATAACAGTCATAAATAAATAAGCTTTGGCTGGGTGCGGTGGCTCACACCTGTAATCCCAGCACTTTGGGAGGCCGAGGAGGGGCGATCACCTGAGGTCAGGAGTTCGAGATCACACTGGCCAACATAGTGAAACCTCGTCTCTACTAAAAATACAAAAATTAGCTGGGAGTGGTGGTGGGCACCTATAATTCCAGCTACTAAGGAGGTTGAAGCAAGAGAATCGCTTGAACCCAGAAGGCAGGTGTTGCAGTGAGCCAGGATTGGGCCACTGCACTCCAGCCTGGGCAACAAGAGCGAAACTCCATCTCAAAAAACAAACAAAAAATAACCAAGCTTTTCTTGGGGAAAAAAACAAACATATTAATATTAGCTAGAAAATGCTACCATCAAATTTTCAAATGCTTTCCTGTTGAGTTTCAAAAGCATAATATGATGAACTCTTTTTACAGTGAAATATCAAAAATAAAAAAAAAGGAAACCAGATAGCTCAGTAAAATAGTTAGAAGCATATTTTTCTAAATTCTGTAAATTCACAAAAATTTTGAAATTCCAGTTAAAAAGATTTGTGGCACCAAACTCTAAATATGAAAGATGCCATTTATCCATCTAAGGTTTACGTGATGTTAGTATAATAATCCAAAAATATATTAAACTTATATTAATATTATAAAAGTTTTATTTATTTTATTTTTACAGGATACCACTTTTTAACTTTATTATAATATGGTAATGATACTAACAGACAAGACTGGAAAATAGGGAAGGCGGCCAGGTGCAATGGCTCACACCTGTAATCCCAGCACTTCGGGAGGCTGAGGCGGGTGGATCACCTGAGTTCAGGAGTTCAAGACCAGCCCAGCCAACATGGTGAAACCCCATCTCTACTAAAAATACAAAAATTAGCTGGGTGTGGTGGTGGGCTCCTGTAATCCCAGCTGCTCAGGAGGCTGAGGCAGGAGAATTGCTTGAACCTGTGAGGTGGGTGTTGCTGTGAGCTGAGATTGCGTCATTGCACTCCAGCCTGGGCGCCAGAGCAAGACTCTGTCTCAAAAAAAAGAAAAAAAAAAAAGAAAACAGGGAAGAGAAAAAATTAGCCATAATCTCACTGCACTAATACAACCATTCTGATAGACTTCTTTCTGGTCATTTTTCCTACCCACATTACCCAAAGTAATGTGTTTTAATGTCCATATGTTTTGTATCCAGATTTTTTTCATTTAATTTCTTATCAGTTACAGTTATAGATTTTATATTAATAGTGCATATAAATTATTTAATAAAGAAAGTAGAAAAACAAAGAGCATAAAAACACAGAGTTGTTTAATAAGCTTACCTCATAAATAGGAAGTGTAGGAGAATTCCATGCATTGATTCTTGATTCATTGACATCAACAACCGTTACCCTGATTTCAGGACACATACTAGCAATGACACTACAGGTAGGTCCTCCAACATAGCCTGCACCGATGCAGCAGATCTTCTTAATTTCAAACATGATTGTACTAGAAGGAAAAAAGTAAGACTGTTCTAGTATTGAAAACAGAAAATTCAAAGAAATCATATTGTACTTTATAAAAACTGTCAAGGTGACAGATACCTGGAAAGATTTCCTAGATTCACTCTGAGGAATTATGAAAATAGTGATTTAAAAAATAACATTCCAATTGGATGACCTAGCCTGTTCTCAGCTGCACTAGCATGAAACATATGGAAATAATCACAGTAACTGATATTACTGAAAGGGAGCCACAAAGATTATAATGACCTAATATTTAGAAAGTAAAGAATCAAAGCAAAACATTCGTTAGAGCTATAATACACTAGGACAACCTTGATTGCTGACCGAAAGTTCCAGGATGAACATAACTGTACAATTTTTGCTTAAATAAATGCTAGTGTACAAAGATGTGTTTATAACAGGTTTAGATTACGATGATATGGAATAAGATTAGTTCCACAGTCCAGAATTGGCCTCTGAGATTATATGCCCTACACACTACTTTGGCTTTCAAAGTTTACTTTTAGGTACTAGGCAATAATCTTAAACTCCATTTCAACTTTAATCAGAAACCATAAGATGGTTAAAGAAAATGTAATTTCTGTAATTACCAAAGCTGTTACGCAGATTTTTTTTCTTTCCAGTGCCAGCAGAAAAGTGGGTTACACAGATTTTGATAGATTTTCAAAAGCATTAGGTGAACTGATTCACACTAATCAACATGGCAAGGAACTGATTTATACATAACTATGCTCATTTATCTGTTATAAGGAGAACTGTCAAACTGATCAGATTCTTAGAAGCAAAGAATGGTTTTGCCTTGCCAAGACCTCAGACATCATCTAATCTAACCCATTCAGATTCCAAAGAAAAGGAAAATGGTAATCACAGAGTTTAAGAATTTTTTAGTGTACTCCTGTATGGATCAGAGAACGCACTCTGGAAGGCTGGCCTAATTTGAAGGCCTGGCAAGAAGAATATCCCTATTATGAAAAAAGACAAATCATATACTTAAGATTATCCAATTCCTTTTGGTTTGAATCTGTATTAAACAATATTCTAAATTTTCATTTAGTTCTCTGGATAGATTTCCCTACTAGAAGAAAACGAGCTGACTAATCCATGTAAGCATCCTGGACTGTTTGTAGCCTGTGTTAATAAACCACTAATCTGGCTTATATATTGATCTTTAGTGGTACAGATATCAACTCATGGAGTCTGATCCCTCATGACTTTTTTTTTTTTTTTTTTTTTAATGAGACAGAGTCTTACTCTGTCGCCAGGCTAGAGTACAATGATGTGATCTCAGCTCACTGCAACCTCCGTCTCCTGGGTTCAAGCGATTCTCCTGCCTCAGCCTACCGAGTAGCTGGTACTACAGACACACGCTACCACGCCCAGCTAATTTTTGTATTTTTTGTAGAGATGGGGTTTCACCATGTTGGTCAGGATGGTCTCGATTTCTTGACCTCGTGATCCGCCCGCCTCAGCCTCCAAAAGTACTGGGATTACAGGCATGAGCCACCCTGGTATTTATTTTTTTTGAGACAGAATCTCACTTTGTCACACAGGTTGGAGGGCAGTGGCATCATCTCGGCTTATTACAACCTCCACCTCCTAGGTTTAAGTGATTCTCGTGCCTCAGCCCGCCAAGTAGCTGGGACTACAGATGCATGCCACCACACCAGGTTAATTTTTGTATTTTTAGTAGAGAAGCGCTTTGCCATGTAGCCCAGGCTGGTCTGGAACTCCTGAGCTCAAGCAATCTGCCTGCCTCAGCCTCACAAAGTGTTACGATGACAGGCATAAGCCACTGTGCCAGGCCCCTCATGATTTTTAAAAAACCATGAAAAGAAATAGAATTTTGGTAAAATAGTAAAAATGGACAGAATTTTGAATCGTATGATTCAATTAAATAAAGCAATATTCTTGGCCATATGAAATAAATTTTTAAAAATTATTTATTCTGGCCGGGCATGGTGGCTCACGCCTGTAATCCCAGCACTTTGGGAGGCCGAGGAGGGTGGATCACCTGAGGTCGGGGGTTCAAGAGCAGGATGATCAACATGGCAAAACCCCATCTCTACTAAAAATACAAAATTAGCGGGACATGGTGGCACCTGTCTGTAATGCCAGCTACTTGGGAGGTTGAGGCAGGAGAATCGCTTGAACCCGGGAGGCGGAGGTTGCAGTAAGTTGAGATCATGCCATGTTGCACTCCAGCCTGGGCAACAAGCATGAAACCCCATCTCCAAAAAAAAAAAAAAAAAGAATTATTTATTGTGAGTAGATAATGTTCATATGGTTCAAAATTAAATCTTTTGTAACAAGGTATACATGAGAAGTTTCACTCCAACCCCTTCCTTATCTACTTTGCTATCCCCTACTTTGCTTCCACACAAGCAACCCGTTTTCTTGTACATCCTCCCAGCTACAAGTACATATACATATATTCTAATAATTTTGTCTTTCTAAATGCAATAGAATACCATACATACTATTAACACCTGGTTTTTTTTCACTTAATTAAACCCAGTATATCTAGAATACCTAAAAAGTAGAATCTCAAAGTAATGTTGGACCAGAGGATCTTTTAGGGTTACCATTTAATCTCCTAGCCCAAAAGTTATTAGGGCAGCCTTTACCCTTAATCTCAACCAGGACAGGTTCTGCTAACACATTTATTAAATGAGAATCAGTGTCTACTCGTTCTAGTTCCTGGACTTAAGGAGTTCAAAGTTTAAGAAGGCACAGCCAGGCTAACAGTGATTGCTGCTGCTCCCTGCTGTATCCTTGACTCCTAGAATAGCAGCCTCTCAATGATTATTAATTGAATGAATGAGTAACTCTCCACACAGGCCTCTCTTTTTGAGATGAAGACTTCTGTGTAAACAGCTTTAGTTCAGATTGCCGATCATAGTATTTTTGCAGTAATTGACCAGAATACTATCAGGTTCTTCTTTTTTTTTTTTTTGACACAAGGTCTCACTCTGTTGCCCAGGCTGGAGTGCAATGGCACAAGCTGGGCTCACTGCAGCCTCCGCCTCCCAGGTTCAATCGATTCTCCCACCTAGCCTCCCAAGTAACTGGGACTACAGGTGTCCGCCACTATGCCCAGCTAATTTTTGTATTTTTTGGTAGAGACGGGGTTTCACCATGTTGTCCAGGCTGGTCTCAAGCTCCTGACCTCAGCTGATCCACCTGCCTCAGCCTCCCAAAGTACTGGGATTACAGGCATGAGCCATCGCACCTGGCCAAGTTCTTTTCCTGAGTTACCTAAAGAACTTCAGCATGTTTCCCCGGAGTTACTTCTTATCTGCCTTGATTGTGAGACCACATTTCAACTTGCTTTACATACGTCAGTTGGGTTAGACTACTGATGGCCGGTGAACCTGTATCATAGAACTGGATATGTTTTACACAAGCTTTATTTGGGGTATTCTCACCTTGCTATTTCCCATGAAATATGGCTTATAGATGACAATGGGAAAATCAATGAAGAGGCTGATGTATGATCTGTGCAAGTCCAAATAAATGGTCACTTGGAAGTTTCAATAAAATCTTCAATAAGCTTTAACATGGAGTTTGACATAGTGTTAGTGACACATCTCGCATGACACAGATGTCTTCCAGTTCCATTTTCTCTTTTTTTTTTTTTTTTTGAGACGGAGTCTTACTCTGTCACAAGGCTGGAGTGCAGTGGCACTGTGTTGGCTCACTGCAACCTCCATCTCTTGGGTTCAAGCAATTCTCCTGCCTTAGTCTCCTAAGTAGCTGGGATTACAGGCACCCACCACCATGCCTGGCTAGTTTTTATATGTTTAGTAGAAATGGGGTTTCACCATATTGGCCAGGCTGGTCTCGAACTCCTGATCTCAGGTGATCCACCCACCTCAGCCTCCCAAAGTGCTGGGATTACAGGTGTAAGCCACTGCGCCCAGCCCCATTTTCTATTTCTACTTTTATGTACCCTCTGGCACTCTTATTCTGCTGTCAGAGACATGAGAGTGTCTCCTTATTAAATGGGTTATTTTGAAATGAGTTTTTACCTCTGTATTTTGGGAGAGTCACAACAAACCAAACCATTCCAAAACTACTCTTCATGTAAAATTTCATAAATTCAAATAAACATTCCAACCCAGAAGGGGTCACTAACAAATAACAAATGCCCTACTACAATCTAAACAGAAAATAATCCTTCTAGCCCCAGCTCTCCACAGCATACTTTGCATAGGTACCCAAGAGCTAACGATAGGCATTATAGTTGTATACATCAGCTTCAAACATTTTAATCATTTCCAGAAATTAAACAGTAAAAGATGCCTGAACAGAGAAAAATATTTAATCAGTAAGAAAGCCGGTATTAATTTTATGTCTAAGGGTTATCATGTAAAGTTGTGGAAGTAAACAAGAAGGAAGATGGATTATGTTTATCCAGTTAATAGATTTTGTTAGAAAAACGAGTACAGCAATGGGAGAAGACATGAGATCTTTTCAACCAGGGTTGTCTACCCCTTACCTTAAACTGGATCCTGGCCACTAACAAGCACATCTCAGAGCAGACAGTCAGCTCTTTGATTTCCAGAATCCCCCTGAAGAAAGACTACTGTTCTCCATTTCTTAGGGGATTTGAAAAAAATCAAAGGTTCACTGTGTCTTTGAGGACTGTCGATAGACAACTACTGCTCTGTATGCCCATGAATAGATCCCTACCAGCGAACCCCTCTTTTCTCCATACTAGAATTCATAACCCTACTAAGTTATCTTTCTGTATACTTATAGGACGTATAATTTTTCAAGATCTCACATAAACATGGTCTCCCGAGACACCCAGGAAAGGCCTTCCCCGACATCAAACAGAGTAATTCTATGGTGTGGGGGTCCAACAATGGATTCCAGGACATCTCAGATACATATCACGATAGTCTCAGGATTTTGCTCTCAGGAGGGCTTTCTGGCTTCGTTTCTATTTGGTTTCTTAAGAGAGGCGGCATGAGAAAAGCAGGAGCCCCTCAGGTGAGCAGACTCTTAAACACAAACAAAAGACTACGATTCTGCGGCCAAAATGTGGTCCCCAACGAGAGAACCGCTTCCTGTGGTGGGCGTTCGGCTTTGGAGGCGGCAGGGAAATCTCATCCAAGTCAGGAAAGTGGGTAAAAGCAGAAAGAGAAGGGGCTGGAAGACTCACGAGTCTTGAATAAGAAGCCCAGGCTACCCCATCCCTAGGACAGCAGTTCCAAAATGCGGTTCCCGCCCTAAAGCCCAAAGAGACGAAGGTCGTGAGTCGGGAAGCCCGGGACCCAGCGCAGCGAGCAACCGGGAGCAGCGCACACCCCAGCCCCGCTCCCTCCACATCCCGCCCAGACCTGGATCATCCCGCACGGGCGGCGGGGCCAGCCTGGGAGCGGCGCTTACCCACTTCCCAGCAGCAAGCGCAGGGACCGCTCTTATCCCGATCGTTCGGACAGCACCTTCCTACGGGCCGCGCTGCCGCAGCTTCTCCACCCGCGCCCAGCTCCGTCTGAGCTCCCTCTCGGCGAACGCCCCTCCCTCAGGCTGCCACGCGCTACACTCCTGAGTCCCGGGCCTCAGCCCGTATTTAAAGGCTTCTGCCTGAGAAGGCGGAGGCTTCATTCCCCCGCAGCCAGGCCCTCCTGGACTCTGCCCTCAGCCGCTTTCTAGCTCCCCCTCCCACTACACAAGGCCCAGGGCCGGGTCCCTATTTCCTACAGGGCCCAGGGGCCGGGAGACGGGGGCTGGTCCTGGCGGGGAGGGCCTGCCCCGCCCCTGACCGAGCTAGGCAAATCCGCTTGGGCCAGCTCAGCCGCTCCGCCCCTACCGCGAGCGGCGCTGGGCGGGACTGCGTGCGTGGCGTGTCCGCTGGATCAGGGGACTGGGGCAACCGGAGGTGTAGGCCCTTTGCTCGCCTACCCGGCGGTCGTGGGTAGCGGAGGGGTCAAGACTTGTTGTCTAGCAGCCGTCTCCCCGCCGCCCTGTCCTGGCCGAAGCAAAGGCCGCGTGCGGTCCGCGTCTGCCAGGCTTCAGGGCTGCGCGGGTACTGGGTGGGTGGTGGGCCGGGCGACCGGAAGATCCTGGCCGCCTTTCCGGTCGCCTCAGCACCCTGGAGCGCAGCCCTCGGGTTTCGGTCCCCTGGACTCTGCAGGTCGGTCCCGGCGGCGGATTATCCTCGCCCACAACCTCGAGGCCCCTGGGTCAACCACGCCTTCCGGGCCGGCAACCCAAGGTTTAGTCAGATTCCTCCAGACCCATCGCTTCTGGGAAAGAGGCGCCTCCCGTCAGGAGGATGCTGAGTTCCTCATGACTGGACCAGTGAGTGTCCACTCCCTGGTCCCTGGCGGGAGAGGCGGGACCCCCACGCCCTCCCGTTGCTCTTTGCAGAGATGTTCCTCAGGCCCAGTCCGGGATTTGGGATGTCTGTGCATGCTGTGGAGCAGAGAGTATGCAACATGTAAGTGCCGTGCGTGAGGAAGAGTACAATTAACCTATGGAGCCTGCTCATTTTTAATGTGGAGGGCATTTCTGTTCCTTTCTTTCGCCACTTCGAGGTCTTTTTAACTAAACCTCAAATCTAAGATATAAGAAAAAAAAGCCAGGCATAGTCATGACCTTTTATTTCCCTCATTAAGGATTACATCAGGTGACGTAAGCCATTTTAACATACATCATGAAGAAAATGATTAGTAATTTATAAAGGCACATTAAAATACCATATAAATCACGGTTTTCTTGATAGGATCATGATGGCGACTTCAAGAAAGTCGTTGAATGTGGATGAAACAGTTTGCTGTGGATTGTAGCACAGGTGGCAGGATATGTAGGCTTGCTTGTTGTTTTGAGACGGAGTCTCCCTCTCGAAGCCCAGGCTGGAGTGCAGTGGCGAGATCTCCGCTCACCGCAACCTCCTCCTCCCGGATTCAAGCGATTCTCCTGCCTCAGCCTCCCGAGTAGCTGGGACGACAGGCTCCCACAACCATGCCCGGCTAATTTTTGTATTTTTAATAGAGACGGGGTTTTGCCATGTTGACCAGGCTGGTCTCAAACTCCTGACCTCAGGTGATTCGCCCGCCTCGGCCTCCCAAAGTGCTGGGATTACAGGTGTGAGCCACGGTGCTTGGCCAGTAATATGTAGGCTTTCTACATTCTATGCAGTTCAGTTCATTCATCCAACAAATATTTAATGCCTGTTGTGTGTCAGACGTTATCCTAAAGGCTGAAGATACAAAAGGGATTAAGACTCAATTCCTTTGGCCGTGCACGGTGGTTTACGCCTGTAATCCCAGCACTTTGGGAGGCCATAGCAGGTGAATCACCTGAGGTCAGGAGTTCCAGACCAGCCTGGCCAACATGGTGAACCCCCCCCCCCCCGCGTCTACTAAAAATACAAAAAGTTAGCCGGGCAAGGTGGTGAGCACCTGTAATCCCACCTACTCAGGAGGCTAAGGCATGAGAATTGCTTGAACTCGGGGGCCGGAGGTTGCAGTGAGCCGATATCGCACCACTTCCTTCCAGCCTGGGGAACAGAACAAGACTCCGTCTCAAAAAAATAACCAAACAAGAAAGACTCATTGCCTTCTTGCAAAGCTGACAGGTTGGGTAGAAGAGATATATAAAGTAATTGCAGTACATAAGTGCTATAGTAGGGCATCTTTTTGAACTTGGGACATATGTAGATTTAAGTTACCTAATACAATTTGCTTTGTAATAAAAACCACTTATCTATGATTAGTCCCTTCATTTTGAATTCAACATTTTTCTATTTAGTATTCACCTCACTTTTTTTTTTTTTTTTTTTTAGTATTTTAGTAGAATCAGACTCTTCAAAATGGTTAATAGGATTTCAGAAATTAAATCAATTATCAGTGCCAGCTAGAATGGACCTTTGGATTTAGGACAGTGGTTCTCCAAATGTGAGCTGGGGACTGTAGACAATCTCCGTGATTCTTTCTGGGATCCATGAGGTCAAAACGTTTTCATGTGTTGCTTGCTTTTTTAACTCTTTTTCTCTCACAAGTGTGCAATAAAGTTTTGTGGAGACTATAATGTGCTATCAAAGCAGATAGAATTAAGCTGTTTTTAAGTCAGATATTAGAGATTACAAAACTGTAAAACAATGCCAATCTTATTTTTTGTTTTTAAAATATAGTAATTTTTCATTTAAATATGCTATTTATGTTAACACGTAATGGGCTTATTGTCAATTTTAAGGAATTAATCTTTTATATATAATCAGTTTTCATATTTAATATGGTAAATACCAATAGTTACAATCCACATGAAAAAAATTTGTTTGACTCTTCAATTTTTAAACATGCCAAGGGGTCTTGATACCACAAACTTTGAGAACTGCCAAGGTAGGCTAGTTATTTTCAAATCCTGTTTCATGGAGCCCTAAATCCTCTGGTAGTGTGTAAGAAATCTGTGAGGATAGAGAATTTAAAAAAAAAAAAAAAAAAAAGAATTAGTAGGAAGTTAAAGACAAGGCTCTGGGTCCCCACATCTCCCCATCTTCCTCTAATGGCAGTTCAACTTTTCTCTGTTTATCTGGGTTTTTTTTGTTTTGTTTTTGTTGTTGTTGTTTTTTTCCTTGAGACAGTCTCGCTCTGTCACCCAGGCTGGAATGCAATGGTGCAATCTCAGCTCACTGCAACCTCCATCTCCCGGGTTCAAAAGATTCTCCTGCCTAGGCCTCCCAGGTAGCTGGGACTACAAGTGTGCACCACCACATCATGCTAATTTTTGTGTTTTTAGTAGAGACGGGGTTTCTGCCATGTTGGCCAGACTGGTCTCAAACTCCTGACTTCAGGTGATCCACCCGCCTCGTCCTCCCAAAGTGTTGGGATCACAGGCATGAGCCACCATGCCTGGTCTGTTTATCTGCTTTTTATATCAATTAGGTAGAGACTCGCAAACTTGAATTATTGACTACTGTGCACCTACAGGCTCAACACCAAGTGGAAGCTGACAACGCTTGGGGCTTCCACCCTCTGAAGCAACAGCCCAAGCTATACCTCAGCCCCTTTTAGTTACAGCTGGAGCAGCTGGGACACAAGGCACCAAGTCCCTAGACTGCACATAGCAGAGGGACCCTGGGCCCAGCCCACAAAACCATTTTTTTCTTCCTAAACCTCCAGGCCTGTGATGGGAGGAGCTGCCACGAAGATCTCTGACATGCCCATTTTCCCCACTGTCTTGGTGATTAACATTCAGATCCTTTCACTTATGCAAATTTCTACAGCCAGCTTGAATTTCTCCTCAGAAAATGGGATTTTCTTTTATGTCATGTTGTCAGGCTGCAAATTTTCCAAACTTTCATGTTTTGTTTCCCTTAAAAACTGAATGCCTTTAACAGCACCCAAGTCACCTCTTGAATGCTTTGCTGCTTAGAAATTTCTTCCATCAGATACCCTAAACCATCTCTCTCAAGTTCAAAGTTTCACAAATCTCTAGGGCAGGGGCAAAATGCTACCAGTCTCTTTGCTAAAACATAACAAGAGTCACCTTTGCTCCAGTTCCCAACCAGTTCCTCATCTCCATCTGAGACCACCTGACTGGATTTCATTGTCCATATAATTATCAACATTTTTGTCAAAGCCATTCAACAAGCCTCTAGGGAGTTCCAAACTTTCCTACATTTCCCTGTCTTCTTCTGAGCCCTGCAAACTGTTGCAACATCTGGCTATTAATCCAGTTCCAAAGTTGCTTCCATATTTTTGGATATCTTTTTAGCAGTGCCCCACTCTACTGGTACCAATTTACTGTGTTAGTTCTTTTTCATGCTGCTAATAAAGACATACCCAAGA